TACATATTTAAAAAAAAAATCCGATATGACCTATCTTTCGTTTGAACTTATTCTCTAAATGTACTTATTCCAATAAAAAAAATAGATGAAAGGATGATTAGGTAGAAAATGTTGAAAAAGATTATCTGGAAAAGAAGTTTTGCTTTATTTATACGGCAAGGGTTGGTGCAAAAGTAATGTCTCGACTGCTTTAAAATCTTTAATAATGGAAAGTTTCCATCACAACTTCATATACTTATATCTCTATCCAATTGACTTTTTACCTAATACTTTATTCAGATATATGCAACATTAAATTAAATATTAAAATAAACACAATGTTGGGTCTCGTGCACCTCTGCACGACAAGAATGTACAGAAGTCGTTATGACGTTTCTCATTAACACTTATTTTGAATTTGGTGATACATAAGACTTACACAAAAAAGAATGAATTTATGAATAACAGTTGGACAGAGTTAATATGAATTTAATGCTACAACTAAAAACAAGACAGTTAATAGCAAAATGGCAGTAAAGAGAATAAAAAAGAAGCATGTGAGAGGTTAAAGGTTATGCGGAAGAATTGAAAATCAGTGACGTCATAACGAAGTCTGCAATATTGTTGACGTGCGGCGATAGACGTAACCCAACGTTCTGTTTATCTTAATATATTAAAAATCATCTATATGCTCAAATGAAATTTTATATTATAATCAAAGCAGACAGGCGTAAAAGTATGTCATATTGTGTTGATAATAGTTAATTATTAAAGATTTCATAGCAGTTGTGACCGTTCACGGTAGCTTATCAGTCAGCAGAGCGCTCGATCTGTGATCGGGAGGTTGTGAGTTCGAATCTCGGCCGCGGCTGGCCTAGGTCGATAAAAAATGGATAGCAATTGTTCCTTTGCCATGCGCTCGGCACTTTGAAGTGAAAGTTGCGGGTCCTTCGGATGAGACCTTAAACACCGAGGCCCCATGTCACGGCAGGGACGTAAAACAACATACAATCAATCATTCATAGCAGTTGTGACATTAATTTCGGATGAACAAACGTACAATGATGGCTCTGTGTAAGATTCAATGTCCTTTTCTGTTTATTTTTAGTTTTTCATTGTCAACTAGTCTCACTGAAACATAGTATTGGATCCTTTTTTTTCTACCATGTTGGCTTGGCTGAAAATGTAAAATCATCTCTTGATACCCAGTTAATCGTAATTATTGTTGTTAAGCCACTCGCTGACCTATGGCTTTTTCTGTTATTTCCTTATCATGACTAGGAGCATACGGCGGGTGTGACCGGTCGGCAGGGAATGTTATATCACTATATGTAAAGACCAGGCCTCTTTGTTATCCTCTCTTTACTGTTTGTGTTTAGATTCTGTTAAGTTTATTACACACGGTAAGGTCTGTTTTATAATGCTTATAGTATAATATGTCGTGTGTACCCTCTTAATACAGGGTAGTTTCGAGTGTACATACGACATATCATACTATAAGCATCACAGTCCCCCACTTTTAATTTTCTTTTCCAAATACATAAGATAATTTTTACCATTCTGGTGAAATTCAGCAAAATCTTAATACTTAAAAAAATGATTGTATTGCTTGTTCAATTTTTAATGCAAGAAATATGACATTTTTGAGTGCAGAGAGGTCAAATAATTGACTATGCGAAGTAATTTGAAACCTTTTCGTTGTCACAAACGTTAATATGTCTTTTCAAGACAAATTAAAATTGTATTTGGTCCCATGATTTATTTGGATAAAAGAAATTGGAAAGAAAACTGCGAAAAGGTCATATAAACTGCTCGGTAGCTCCAAAAGATGCGCACTGGCCAACATTTCTGTTTTGAATTTTAATTAAGTATTGTGTGTAAATTCTAAAAATATACTTCATTTTTTTTTCATAATACTTTTGATAGCAGGATCCAATCTCCTTAAACGCCCTCATTTTTGACATAATGCATTGACTCCGACTTTTTAATTAGGACGGCATTAACAAAAATTGAAATAACTTTGCAAATAAAACTGCTAAGAATATTCAACAGGTAGGACCCGACATTCTGACATTAAAACTAGCACAAATACCCACAAAACGTCAGCCAGGGTTTCTTAAAAGCTGGAAAAACCCCAGCTGCTGAAGGATGGATTTTTATTTTTAATACATGTAATTTCTTTAATAAACTGATTTAAGTTCAAAGAGATAAATCCTAATAATGAATTAACAGCGTCAAAGCTTGTGGTTATGAACATAAATAAATAGTTATGCTTGATGAAGTTTTAACCCTCTGTATCAGATTTGGAAGTGATTCTCTTTATCTTCTTATCACCTAACCATACCTTCACCATCAGAGCGCAAGCCTGACACCAATAATGTATATATTTTGATGACAGATTATTTGTTAAAATGAATTGCAAATGAGATATTAAAACTTTTACTACGTAGTATCTGACATTATTTTGCTTTTTAATGAAAAATGTTGTCGATATAAGTAATAAAAATAGATGATAAAATGATTATGCTGAAAAAAAAAAATGATTAAGATTAGCTGGAAAACTTAATTTAACACAAAGAAACAGTGTTGGCCAAGTAAACGAGAGTAGTTGTAATTACAACAGAAATTGTACCTTAAATGCCTTAGAAAATCTTAAGTAAGCCACATATTTTTATACTGATATCAACTGTTCGAAAAGTTTTGCACACTACAGAGGAAAAGATACATGATAAGTAATCCTCAACAAAAATCACTATGATGTCTTGTTATTAACTTGCCCTACAACTATGTTTGTGATCAAGAGTTCACATCCCTCCTTGTCCTAAATTTAAAGATTCTGTCGTTTAAACCGAAATATGGGGAAAACGAAGAGAAATCAATTTCAAAAGTCGATTTATACAATACAAATCGGGAGGAGAGTAATTAATGACCTTCGAGAACATCAGAGGTTTAATCAGTTATCATGGAGGAGCAAGCATCACTATCCACCGGTCACACCTGCCGTATGCTCCTTGTCGTAAACAGGCAAATGGATAGATATGTAGACAATCAGGGTTTAAATAATGGCCTAACAATAAGTATGAAAAACGTCTGTCAGCATTTGACTTCCGACTATTATTAATTTTTTCAGTATTAAGGAGGTTAGCAATCTTTTTATTTTTTAGTATAATAGTATTTTTTAAAAATTAGTTTTACAACCAAAAACCTAATTAATTGGTTAGTACTCCTGAAAGCAAAACAAAACAGTTGAAAAAAAAACAACAACAGAACTTCGGATTTTGATTTGAAAAATTGCACTCTTTGGTCGATACAAAGTCGATACAATGTTTCTACAAACTGAAGTTCCTTTTTTTTCAAACAAAAAGTTAGGTTATTTATTTCACACTGAATTGTAATCAGAGATAGTTACCTAATTTGTGTGGAACACTTCTTTGATAAATTTTTAAGCTAATAATTCTTATGTTACTTTTGAAAGCGTTAAATTAATTTTACGGCATTAACATTTGAGTTTTTAAGAGCTTTTACGGATATGAGCATAGATGCATTGTCAGTATATCAACTAAAATCGACTGATTGTATTGTTTTACCTCCCTTTAATTTTTTTTGTCACTCAAGAGACGTTACCAATGTTCCAGTGAATCCAAAATTCATCAAAATAACCTATACTCGGCACTTGGAGGCATAAAGCAGTGAGGGTTCTTTATCCTGCCAACCTCCACAGTGACCAGGGACCTCGGTTTTATGTATTTATCCAGGAGACCTGTGACTTTCTAGTGCCGGGCGCTTACCCGCTTGGCGAATGTAAAGATTTCATTTGTATTGACGCTGCGAACGAGAATGATGCTCGAACTTCTCGATCACGAAGGAAACTCCCTACCACTAGGCTACCGTGAAATACCGCTACCACTAGGCTACTGTGAAATACCGCTACCGCTTGCTTAAGAAAGATGGATTCTACTCAAGGATCACATCAGCCTCGAAGTGGAAACTTTTCAATTTTTCAAATGATCTGTATAAAGAATTTTTTTTTTTTAAATTGAAAGCACTAGCAAGATGTGTCTGTTAAACACTAATGCCCCCGTGTGACGAACGCTAATTTTTTTTCCATTGACGAGCAGTGATTTTTATTTATATTGCTTTAATTAAATGAATGGATGTAAAATTTTTCATATAAGTATCACCTAGCAGATTAGAACTTTGAACACGAACTACAATATATCATAAATTATTTTTAAATTTGATCCGTTGTCCTCATAAGCTAGGCTTTGATAAAAAAAAAAAAAAGGGAAAGATATGTTTTGCCTCCTTTCTTAAGTCATATTTCCAAAGTTATAATTTTTCTAAAGTCCTTCATTTTTTATGAATATACATAAAAATTGTACAAGTGTAGTTATACCTTACTGTACTTATTTAAAACAATGGGAATGATTTTTAAAGAAAAAACTGCCTCCCCTGAATATAACATAAAACAAGCACATTAAAATGTATAACAAGCAATTGTTTAGCAGCAGACCTTTCACATTTTTACGGTTGATCTTTGTTTACAAATCAAGATACAGCAAAAATGATCATTTAAGGTCAGATGACAACAGAAAATGTTAATTGAATCTAATAAATAGTTTTTAAATTTCTTATTTACAAACGTTCAATAGGGCGGTCCTTCGAATGAGATTAAAACCCCAATCAAAATGGGTAATTATTACTAGTAACTAATCATTTTAATCTGCAAGGAATTATAAATCAGCTAAAATGGACTTTACCTCGTCCATATTCTGTAAAACATTTAATGGCAAATTGCCAAACTTCTTAAATCATTTGTTTGTAAACAATTCGAGTCAATCTAGCTAGCATACGTATTTCTTTGAAATAAAATGATAAAATCGTTTTCATTTTGAAAGGAGGCTGTCAGTCACAAAAAGATAGCCAATCATAATATTTGCCAATATCTTTATACAAATCAATTGTCTTTAAATAGAGACACGACGCTAACCTACACAGTCTGTTCTTAGACACCAGCCATAATGCAAACAGGAAAGGTAAGTGAAATTACTTAGATATTTTACATACATGTAATTATTAAAATTAAGTTCTAAATTTCTAACGTACACAATTAAAAACATTTTTATGAGTCTGAGGACTCTGGTTCAACGAGAATGAAAAAAATCTAAACCTGTATATATTTTTTAAACGAAGTATATAATTATTTGAGGCAGATTAAAATTTTCTTCAAAGAAAGTAATGTTAATAAATTTAGAAAGATGAAAAGGCGGTATAATGATTGTAGATTGCAATTTTTAGTGAAATCGACAAATTTGTTAATGCAATTTGTTCCAACAAGGAAAGCAATCTTTCTCACTCATGATTTTCCGTAGACGCAGTTCAGAGAAGCTAATAAAGCTTAACACTACTCATAAATAAGTTCCGTCACACGGGTATATAAACCCTTCGATTTCGTTACTCCCGATTGCACACTTGAAACCTGTGGCCGACTTGTAGTATTTGTTTCGTGGTCTTTGATTTTGTGCGTTTATTCCTTGTTTTTTATGCATTTCCTGTTTGTAAATTATGCATAAATAGAGGATATTCAATGTTTTGTAGATGAATATGGAATTTATTACAAAACATTGAATTTTCTGTTTATTACATTTTCTTTGATTTTCCCTTTGCCTCTGTCTTTTCTTAAGGTCAAGATCTAGTAAATAAAAGGAGCCTACAGATTTCTCAAATTTGAGAAATAAATTCCCTAAATGAAGCTTTGTAAGTATAGCTTGGTCAAAAAAGGTGTTTCGGGGCATAATTTGTAGGTAAACAAGACGAAAAATCATATCTTAAACTTTCATTTGCAATGAAAAATTAAGAAAATCAGTCATGAATATGGGAGTTTTTTCCATATCAGACAAATTAAATGATTCCAGATTGCCTATGTAGTGGTTTAGATTTCTATTTCATAGCCCTCGTTTTGTAAACTATATTTTGCAAGTATTTGTTGGTATTTCAGTCTGATAATTCTATTTACCTTATGTATTCAGTTGTTACTTATTTATTGCAGCTCGGGCTGCTCTATACATATAAGTTTAAGAGTTGGTATATGGGGATTGAGGTGGGAGAAGTTATTCAGAATCAAAGGTTTTCTAAACATTAAAAAGATTGTTTATCAGAATGTTCCTTCCCTTTTTAAATTACGAGATACACAATATATTTACTTCCATAAAGTGAATCTGTAAAAATATATATGTTTTTCATATTTAATATATAAAGTTGCTCATCATTTACTATCGAAAAAACGACAGGTCCCTTTTTTTAGAACATCGAATTTTACTTATCGCATAAAAACGTACTTTACACAGTTCGTGTTTTATATTCTTAAAGTGAAAGACATTTTTGAAAATAGGTGATGCATGTGTCTGGTTTCAATTTATATTTTATGCAGCCAACATTTACTTGAGGAATTAATAAAGTTTAAAAGGGTATCGTTTTTGTTCGATTTTCATCTGACTATAAGTTTTCAAAATATTCTCGACTATCGTCTCCATCATTTAGATGCATGCCTTTGTCACACATATCGAAGCGGTTTGATGATCAAGACTCATTTCCATTGTTTACTTTATTAATTTCCCGGGCGACAATTGATGGTTACATCAATGTTTTCTTGTTATTTGTCTGTTATAAGTTAGGACATGTGTTGACATTCCACATGTTTTACTTTTTAAACAGGAAGTGTCATCCATGTTGGGAGTCTTTCCATAGTACTTTTGGTAGCTGTGTTCTGATTGGTTAACTTAGTTGTAGGATCTTTGATATTTATTGGCTTTTATATTTGGGCCTATAGCTAGGGTATTTAAAGCCGCGTTCGTGTAGTTTTCTTCACTTGGGTTGGGGAACACGACCTCATTGTTAGTTCCTCTTTACTGTGCTAAGAAAACCTCATGGTTTATCAGCACTATTTGATTAGTACCTTAGAGTGCTAAGAAAACCTCATGGTTTAACAGTACTCTAGGTCTTAGCTAGCTTTAGTTTCATGTTTTTCACAAGTTCTAGGTTTTTGTTAGGAAACAGTTAGGATGTAGGTTTCATAGAGTTAATTTAGTTTTCCCCTTTCCAAGTCCAGCCTGGTCTAGGGATAGGTAGATAACAGGTATAATTCCTAGAACTACTGTTCACTATTTATTTATTTATGGTGTTGTTTATTTTCTGGGTTAGATATTTTTAGAATCCAGATTTAGCATTATTATTTTAAGTTCAACTCTAGAGTGTTGATTAGTAGAGTTCATATTGGGTGATGTAGCTCATTTCCCTTACATTTTTCCACATCATTGACATTTAAAGCAGTTTTTAATAGGATTTTTGACCTTTTTCATAAGTATGGAGGCTCAGTAGGGACATAGATATTTTTATTTAAGCATCTTTCATTTTTTCAAAGGGTTTCCACATTCCTCCCATTTTTTCCTATTAAATTTTTCACAAACTTCTTATTTATTTATTGAGATTATTGTTATTCACTTGCCAAATTAAATTATATTTTTGATAAAACTATTTATTTCTGTGCAATTTTGAAAGACTTTATTCTCTGTTAAGTTTTGATTATTATTTATTATTTGTTATCATTTACAAAGGTTAATTCTCACTTTATTAAATTTATAAAACTTACAACTGTGTTTTCATTTAGCGTTGATCATAGTTCAGATATCCTCTTACCTGGGTTGACAATCATAACTGGAGGCAGTTTACTGCTTTAAGCCAAGTTGGCTAGTAACTTTGTGAAGTTATTCATTAAAGAGTTCTACTTCCGGTTACACCTACAGTCTCTCAGAAAACGGTATTTTGTATGTTCTTAGCCTCTTCTTTAAAATAATATTAAATTGAATATAGGTTTCAAATAGGTTTACTTTTCACATGATTTCAAATTGAATTCCAGAAAAGTACTTCGTTTTCTACATAATTCTTTTACAGCTGTAAAGTACAGGAAAAAGAAAGTTTAATTTGATTATGACGTCATAATGTATTTAGCATCAAAAGGCAGTCTAAAATCATTTACTAGATCTTGACCTTAACACAGTGTCATAGCTAGGCTTGACGTCATAGTTGAGCGGTTGAGACGTCATAGCTTAGCAGTTGTGAGATTGAAAACATTCCATAGCATAAATTTTAGCAACATATTTGGGGAGAAAATTGCAGTTTTAGCTCTATCAAGATGTTTAGTTACTATCTCTAACGGTTATGACAGGCCATAAATTATTTTTTACTTACATTGATATCCTTTCACGCTGTGAGAGAATATCATTTTGGTATCCTTTCACACTGTGAGAGAATATCACTTTTATTCAATAAATAAATCACAGTATTTCACTGTTGAAAATGTAATAAATTTGGTTATTTTATGTTACTTTTCTCCTGGCTCGAAAAAAGTGCTTTGATAATTTTAATGTGATCGAGTAGCATGGCAATGAAAGATGTGCGACCACATCGGTGAGACCACTGCAGCGAATTACTTAAAACTGTTAGGAGGTCTTTTATATAGGGGTTGTCGGGATACCGACAATGAGAGAGAAATATGGCGGACAATGTCTTTACGAGTAGTGTTTAGCTTTAAAATTACTGGCGAGCTCCAGAAGGGCAAATCTCTCCTGAAATATTTTGATACAAAACAGAAACTCAATTGAACAATATTTTTTAGTCAGAATGCTGCATATTATTGATACAAAACTCACACGGATTAGTTGCGTAGACATACATGTATATAAGTAAGTGCGCTAGATGTTGTGCTAGAAAAGAGACAACGTTCCTTTTTTACAGTTATATTTTCAAATAAACCAAGACAGTTGATATTTTGGTATTTGAATGTTGATCTTACTTTTCAGATACTTTTTGTTTTTTTGGTCGGGTATGTTGCAAGTCTACAAGCTGAAACCCTGACAAAGAGATCAAACAATTGTAAGTCTTCCAAATCTTTTGAAAAAGATTAAAAGAAAGTGATAAGATACGCGTATATATATCGTAACAGTTTAAAAAAAATCGCCTGAGAAATGAAATTCCAATTCAATGTCTTATTCTAAACTGTTTCTGTTTCTATTCATCAGTAAGTTGCCCACGTGGCACAGTGATTAGAGTGTTTGTTCTTGAATTGCGAGTTTGAATCCCTATCTGGACGTGGAGATCGATCCTTCGGATGAGACATTTATAAAAAAAACAAAAAAACATAAAAGACAATAATAATAGAGAACAAAAAGGAAACAATAAGGTTTCCTAAAGGATATCAAAATTCTTTTGAAAATAAAGTACTCGGCAAAGTATATATATATATATATATATATATATATATATATATATATATATATATATATATATATATATATATATATATATATATATATATATATATATATATATATATATATATATATATTAACGACATATTTTGATTACAAGTATATTGTTTCAGTCGCTGACAGAAATCCTAACCCATGTCAGAATGGTGGGACATATACACGGATAGGAAAATCCATACCACCACGTGGACCTAAGTTCATATGTACCTGTCCTGAGGGGTTTTCAGGGATAGTATGTCAATGTAAGCATCTTTTGTTTTTGAAATATTATAAGTCATTTTTCTCTGTTCGTATAATTATTGTGCACCTATAAAAATAGAGAATCATTATCATCTAATTACTGAAAATACCAACATAAGTTGTTTTCCAACCTCAACTAAAATCATAAAAACCTTCTACGCTTCATTCTTTCATATATTCAATGTACGTGAATGATGAGGTCTAACGAAATTCGATAAGACATTTATTTAAAACTAGAGGGCTTCCAAATATTTATCAGGTTGAAATTAGATATAACAATGAATCTTTTTGATTTAAAAGTTTGTTTCTTTAGTTAATGTTTGTGACAAACATGATTGTCAGAATGGAACTTGTGAGGCAGACCAGAACAGTACACGTGGTTACAGGTGTAACTGTATCGAAGGTTATGCCGGGGAGAATTGTGAAGGTAAACTTATAAATAACAATACATTGTGTATTTGAGAGTTGCTTTGCAACATTAACTGAGAATCTCTTAGATTTAGATATTTGTTAGTCCCCTACCGGTGAGGGGACTATAGGTTTTCTCTGATTCTATTTGTCCGTCTGTCTGTCTGTTTGTCTGTCCGTCCGTCTGTTTGTCCCTCGGTCTGTCTGTCAGTCTGTCCCACTTGGTTTTCAGACCTTTTTCCTGAACGCTTGCAGATATTGAGCTGATTTTTGGAATGTGAGTATATCTTGATGAGTTACAGATCAAGTTTGCATTCCGTTCCGCTTCAATGACATTTTTGACGGAATTACGACCTTTTCAATTTTTCAGGGTTTTCTGCAATTTTTTTTTTAAACGCTTGCAGACATTGAGCTGATTTTTGGTATGTGACTTTACCTTGAGGAGTTATAGATAAAATTTGCATTTCGTTCCGCTTCACTAATTTTTTGACGGATTTATGGTATTTTCAATTTTTAACGGGAACCAGATTACAATTGCCTCTAGGGGACTAGTATTGCTAATGCAATACTCTCACAATGCTTGTTTCTTTAGTTGATGTATGTGACAGACATGATTTGTCAGAATGGAAATTGTGAGGCAGATAAGTCCAGTACACGAGGTTACAAATGCAACCGAATCGAAGATTATATGGGGAGAATTGTGAAGGGAAAGTGTTTATTATTTGAAATACTGCAGAAGTCGCCCACGTGCGGCATAGGTAAGAGCGGTTGTTCTAGACTCGCGGAGTCCAGAGTTGATCTTTACGTCGCGAGTACGAATCCCATTATGGGAGGTGTAGACATTTCCTTCCGATTGGAATATATAAACCGAGGCCCCTGTCGCAGTAGGTGTTGGAGCAAAAAAAATTCCATCATTGCTCAAAGCAGGTGGTGGCGTTTCAATAAATGTTCGAACATTTCTCAAAGGAACGTTAAACAGACAAACAATGCTGCCCTACTCCTAGGAATTATCATTTCCTTCAAAACTGAATGCATATCAACATTGTGAAAATCAAGTCTTGCTATTTGTTTGTTTTGTTACTTATTTTATTTGTTTATTAGATTTAATATTTTTCCTTATTTTTAGTATATATCAATAAATTGTATCTCTACATCCCCAAAGTTCCATTTAGATTATTTTCTGATCACCTGTGCAGGTTAAGTTATTAATTCATTAGGAGAAACAGTGTTGAAACGTGACAAAATCGTAAAAGAAATATATAGTTTGACATGTAATCAATGATATTGTATCTCTTTAATAACAATTAAGCATTCTTATATTATTGTATTTAAAAATTTAAGAAACTTTCATAGATTAAAAATGACAACATCATTAAGAATGATAAGAATAAAGAAAATTATTGTTGCCAATTATGTGATGACTAATTCTTTCTCAAAACATGAGAGAGAGAGAGAGAGAGAGAGAGAGAGAGAGAGAGAGAGCAAGCAATCCCAATTTCCTCATTTGTTCGAGGGGAAATATGCTTTTTTCAGCTCTGTATACTTACATTTTTCTCATTTTCTTTATTGGTAAAGTAGTCGTCTAAACGAAGAAAACGATACAGAAACAAAAGGTTTTGACCGTTTACTAAGAGAGAAAACACACATTTTACTGATTTCTGCTCATATCAGTATTTTGATTAGAAGTTTTCAATAGCCAACAAGATTGTAGTTTGTATGGAAAATCGTACTTATTTCAAACTTTAAAAAACTTTTGTCTATTACTAAAAACTATGGTTACATTTCTTTAAGTCTCTAATTGTTTAATAAAAATTACTAAATGCATTTTCCTGTGGTAGAATTTAGAAGCAGAGAAGGAGATATGTTCAGCGCCGCCTTCTCACCAAAAATACAGTCCCTCCTAGATTTCAAAATCGGTTTACCATTTGTATTTTAAAGTAGTTGAATTATAAAGAGGGAAGAAAAATATGAACTTTGAAATCTTTCATCTAAAAATATAAGATACATCAGCAAATATACTCTGAATATTTCATTTAGTCAGAAATCAGACAAAACTCTTTCCTTAAATCTTAAATTTAAAAAAAAAGTTGAACATTGTTTTCCTTATTTGACAATAAAACAGCAAACTGGTACACCTTTGCCAAATGTTATTTATAATAGTAATATCGTAATTAGCATTAAATTTGACAATGTCCGAAAGAAACATCAATTCCATTCATCCATTTGATTTTATTTTCTCCACAATTAAACACAAACATAAAAGATTAACAAAAAATTAAGTTTTTTTAGTGAGATTGATAATCAATTTAAAAAAAAACATATTTACAGGTTGGTAGATTGAGGAATTCAAATAGATTTGCAACAAGGAATATCATTATAGTTAAGCGTTCAACGTCAGTTATAATTCAGATCATTTTACAAAGTTATTTTCTACTTATGTCGATCTGCGGTGAGTTAAAACATATTTTTTATGCTACATTACACAATCTCTTCATTCATTTCTTTGTTCTGGTTTAGTTTTGCCAATGGATTGTAAGGAAATTCAAGAAAATGGTCCATATAATTCTGGTGTGTACGAAATTTTCCCAGATGGGAATCCCTCAAATTCGGTTAGGGTGTTCTGTGACATGGAGACGCAGGGCGGTGGATGGATGGTATTCTCTTTTATTTATAAAATTTTCACTTAATTTGCAGGGGATGCTTACTCCTCCATGGCACCTGCTCTCACTTCTAATGTTTTAGAGGTCCATGTTTGCTCTACTCCTGATTTGTATTGTTTGAGTAGACTTTTGAGCTTGAATACTGTTATCATTATATTTCATGCACATATATATTGACGTTATCTATTTAGTATGAATATATATTACCTTTATCAGTACCTGGACATTATTCTTTCAACTAATTTCAACTATCGCACTGTTTAAAAAAGGTTTTCTTTGCTTTACATACTGTCATTCAAAACACGACTTATTGACTTAATAGAAATCTCCAAAAAAAGATTAATGAGATACAATATACATTTCACAATTATCATTCAAACATGTTTAATTATGAAAATTATAATAATAATATTGATTAGTTGTTTATGATATTAATAATAATACATGTTATTATAAATTGTTAAAGGCAATCCAAAAACGACTTACAGGATCCGTGGACTTTAATCGGATATGGGATGAATATAAGAATGGATTCGGTGACCCTGAGGAAGATTTCTGGATTGGTAAGTTAGGAAACTTCAAATTTGATCACTTCTCCTCTTTTATATTTGATAAATGGCATTTTTAGGGACAAGTTAAATTTTGCCTCTCGTAGCAAAGGTATTTTTTTAGACAGGGAAATATTTAACACAATGGTAATTTGTTGTTAAAGGATAAAGAATAACTCAGTTGTAAGTACATGCAAAATCTGCGTTGAAATAAAGTTTCAAAACGAGATATTTTTTTATAAATTCAAGTCAAGGTAAATTTATAACCGGTAACTTTACGTACATTTAATTAAATAAATCAAAATTTTGTATATACAAAGTGTTTAGCCACTTTCATGAGTGAACTTGATCAGAATATCTCCATACGATAAAAACGTCTTTATTACATTTGTAGTCATCTAATGTTCTCCATGTATCTGATTAATATTATGGGCTCACGGCGAATGTGAGAGGTCGATAGGGGATGATTACTTCTCCTTGGCTCCTGATCCCACCTCTGAAATTTTCGAGAGTCCATGTTTAATGGCCCGTTCCAAGATTTTTTTTTTCGTTATTTTTTTTCTTCGATTAATCAGTTTTTTAAAAACTTTCTCGCTGCATGAAAAAAACCCCATAAGTATGTCAAAAAAAGACAAAACAAAAATAAAAAAAAACAACTGGAAATCAGACTGTCGAATATGTGTTTCTTGCATATATTGGGCAATTTCCTTTTTTCTTTCTTACCAAATATTAAAAATGAGCAAAAAGTCTTTTGTGGCATTTTGAATATCTGCTTTAAACTGGTAATAAAGAATTTCTCTAAAAAATCATGAACAAAAGATTATCCTCAAACTTTGCGTGTACATTAAAGTTAGCGAAGGTTATAATACAAAAAATAAGTGGATAGTTTTAACACTAATTAACCCAAGTTGGAAAAAATTCTGTTTGGAAGAAAAAAAATATGCAGAACCTTGAAACACATAACGAAAATTAAAGTGGTTACATTTTAATCAAACACAGGAAAAAGAAATAAAATTCCAAATCCATTAAGTGTGGTCATCATAAAAAAAGATTTATCAAAATCTTCAGTGATAGAACCGTCCTCTGACATTTTACAATAATGAGAAAGTTGAAAAACAGATTTAAAGTATTAAGAATACAATACAAGATTATTCTGTTTTCCTTACTTTATGTTATGTGATAATTAAAGCACACGTTATTCGAACAAATAAGAGAAAGAAAGAACGGACATAACCATATTCTCAAAGTCCAGTACATATTAAAAAGCATAGGTAGAAATAAAATGTATATTTTATCCAATATATATATATATATATATATATATATATATATATATATATATATATATATATATATATATATATATATATATATATATATATATATATATATATATATATATATGTAATTTACTTTAATATTGATTTGTGAATATATCTTTAAACAGGAAATGACCAAATCCATCAACTGACAAAAGGAAATGACTCTTCTCTCTACGTTTCCATAACTCTAGTAAATGGCACAACACTGTACGAGTTATATGATCGGTTCTCTGTAGCAGATGAAGCAGAGAATTATCGCCTTTTTCTGAGTGGACCGGCCACAGGAACACTGGGTAGGTGACAGGGAACATATGTAAAGCACAACCACAGGAACACTTTGTAGGTGACAGGTAACATGTGTACACCACAACCACAGGAACACTGGGTAGGTGACAGGTAACATGTTTAAACCACAACCACAGGAACACTTTGTAGGTGACAGGTAACATGTGTACACCACAAACACAAGAAAACACTGGGTGCGTAACAAGTAACATGTGTACACCACAACCACAGGAACACTTTGTAGGTGACAGATAACATGTGTACACCACAAACACAAGAAAACACTTGGTGCGTAACAAGTAACATGTGTACACCGGGTACTCGACAGGTAACGTGTACACCACAACCACAAGAAAACCCTGGGTGCGTAACAAGTAACATGTGTACACCACAACCACAGGAACACTGGGTACGTGAAAGGGAACATGTGTACACCACAACCACAAGAAAACCCTGGGTGCGTAACAAGTAACATGTGTACACCACAACCACAGGAACACTGGGTACGTGACAGGTAACATGTGTGCACTACAACCACAGGAACACTTGGTACGTGATAGGTGACATGTGTACACCACAAACAATTGACAGTGAGATAAGAATTGAGATAAGTAGTGGGGAAAGCATGCATATATATTTCCAATCTAGCTTGTAATAATTCATTTGATTGGTTGGCAAGCCGGGTACAAATTTCTATATACACGTCGTGAGCAGTCATAAATCGCAAATTACAAGTGATATATGGCGTACGTCATTAAACCACGCAGAAAAGCCACATCCCTGAATTTATACATTTGTGGTATCTCTCTCTTATATGAACATACAGAGAGCAAATATCTTCATACCTGTATGAAGTTTTTCGAAGGTCATAGGTCATTACGTGACCTAATCACACAGCGCAGTCATTCTATATAAAAAGACTTACTCTACTAAGCAATATAGCATGCTTTTCATGTATAAAAATATACAGAATACGCAAATAAAAAAAATAATCATTTTATTTACAATGAAAACGAGTACTGAATATAGTGACTGCATTTCGGTAGACACACCTTCATCATCGAGATCGTTGTCTTAACAATCATGAATGTAAGCTATCGCCAGTGTCTCCGTGTCAACATCATAATAAATTTGCCTTATTGAAATCGTAGATCTTATTTTTCTGATCCAATTTTTTACTTGATTTCAAGATAACTGGTCCGGACAAGTGTCTTCGTCCATCCCTTTCCGACCGAAATTCCTCCAACATTTAATTACCAAACATCGGACGTGTTTCTTGCGTTTTTTTAACATCGAATATGGGTTCTCATGAATACAAAAAATCCCAGAAACCAATATGCTCACTATAATTGATCACAAGTAGCCTTTCACAGAATATTCCCTTCAAAACAGAATCCTTTGCCAGATGAATTTGAAGCGTAACCGCTTTCAAGCCAATTGACACCTTACGTAATTTGTCAAAATCTACGACGAACAGTTAGTGCAATATTCGATTTTCCGTCTCAAATGTATACATAAGTAATAAATAACAAGTTTAAAAACATCACTGGGAAATGAAGTGGGTCGGTACGTGATCAAATCCTGTGAAGTTTTTAAACTTGTTTTTTATTTCTTAAGGAGGCTGGGGGGGTCAACAAATTAACCACAAACTAACCACCAGATTTAACTTAATTTTTTTTAGATATGATATCTTAAGCTGTCAACCTTTTATTTGGCAAAGAAAAATTTCAAAAATTTTAGTTTTAAAATTTGATCATTTTCTATATCTTCATATGGAGCTCTTCTTCTAAAGGAGATCAATATAGTCTAAAAATGGCCACAACCCCCCAGCCTCTTTAATTGAACATGGATAACTAGAAATATACTTGAATAAAACATACTTAGAAAATATCCTACTTTGATTATTTTATTTTCAGAATATTTTTGAAGTTTTTTTTTTTAAATATAGTTTTTTTTTTTAAATTAGATTTAAAATCCAAACTAATTTATCGAGCATAAATACTTCTAAATTAACATTGATTTATAATAATAATAATAATAATAATAATAATAATAATAATAATAATAATAATAATAATAATAATAATAATAAAATAAAAATAAAATAAATAGATCAATGTACCAACCTGTATTTGATTTGTACTTTTCTAAATCCATGTATTATAAACCAATTTTTATACGCATGCGAAAAATTTCCGCGAAATCTGCGAGCAACTCCAGCTCGCGGATATTTATCGTCGCGAACCAGTCATTCGCTGCGCCATATGTTTTATTCATGTGAATATCATGATCGTATGTAGGACAGTGATGGGCGACTGCGGCAAGTAGTACAGTGAATGTTTTCAGATTAAAGAAATGATTTTACTTTTTCTTCTCAAACTATATCATTATTGACATTCAAATATAATTAATAATTACAAATAACAGTGGTTTTGACTAAAGCAAAAATTTACCGTCTTGCATTGGAGTGGTAAATGTACATGATGTACAACAATTAGATTAATTTGCCCCTTACTGAACATCAATTCATGTAAATGACGTTCTACCGTTGTTTGTTTTATTATTTCACAAATGAAGAGAATGAATTTCTTTAATTCTGTAGGTGAAAGAATGATAATTCCTGGTGACCCAGACAACGGTATAAATGGAATGTATTTTAGTACACGGGATAGAGACAACGACAGAGCGGATTATGGTTTTCAATGCGCTGTTGAATTTGGAATAGGTGGGTGGTGGTACAACAGCTGCCACGATGCCTTCCTAAACGGGCCCTGGGATTCACAAAACTGGAGACAGCCTTGGGACCCCCCATTGAATGATGGGACCGAGGTGAGAGGGACGTTGATGATGGTCAGAAGAGTCTAAGGACATCACTCATAACTTCCATATACAGAAAAAGGAGACAGATATAAAAAGGGCAATTTTTATTATTAAACGTGTGTAATGAATAAAATCACATTACACATTTTGTAAAGGATACATGCTTGTTTTCATTTTTTCTGAAGAAAAAAAAAATCTTCTCAGAGAAGGGGGCTTAACCTGGATTTTATTTTTCTGGAGACGGTCAACATGGTGTGCTTTCTCGCGCATATGCCGTTTAAACGGTGTTCTTCAAACCGTTTTACACGAAGAATTTTCAATCATGCGACGAAAAATACTTGTGGTCTCTACTGTATTTTCATTTCTCTGGTTTTCTAAAACGTTTTTGTTTGAGGAGAAAAAATTGAGACACATCACATTGATAACACTATCCTGATGAAAGAAAGACTTCATTTGTTTCTAATTTCGTATTCTGTTTACTCTGAGAACTTATTTAGTACTTACATTTATTGAGAATAGTCTGGGAAAACTTTATTTTAGGGACTGTTTTGTTTGTTTACTTCCTGGAAGTTTAACGTGATTTTTTTGTATTGAATGAACTCTAGGTCTATAAATTGAAATATTAAGAAAACATTGGTGTTAATAATTGTTTAGAGGAGGGAAATATTGCCAAACCAGGGTATCTATACTACCTATCTTGTCTCGTAAAAGTATAAAAAAAAATTAACCTAAACATAAAGAAAACCATAATTCATAGGTTAAAACTATTAACCCCTTTTAAGTATATGATGTTACATGTTTCCTTTGACAATAAAATTTGAGTGGCATTTTCCACTTTATTTGAAGTCAAAGATGGTCAGCGCGATTATAATAGGTTATTGAGCTACTTTTAACCAGAGAGAAATTAATTATTATAAATACGTTGTAACTATAAGTTCTTGTTGATTTAACTACAGTTTAGGACCGAAATGTAACCATACAACAGCAGCCTTTTCATTTGTCACGATTAAAAATATTTCTGACATGTTTTATATTTCATATTTTACTTTAAGTCCAAAGCACTGTGCTGGTATATCGTTACTGGAAAAAAAAATCGCAATGCGGTATTATAGTCAACGATCGGCAATATACCGGAAGATCGATATGATTGTGAAGTCCTACTCTTAATGGTGAAAATTAAGTCACCGTGTAATAACAAAGCAGTCTTAAAAGACTCTTCTCTGAAAAAAACCCAACATTTTCTATAAAATTTATTGAAAAAAAAATACATTTAATATTTCTGTGTCAGAAGTGATTTTTGAGCAAAGTAGATGGGTGAAAAAGGCGTGCAGAATGCCATTAGCTTCATAATTACAAAGGAAAATCATATTCAGTTTTCGAATGAAGTATTTAGAGTAAATTTCTCGTTATTGAAATTTATGAAATTATGATAAGCAAATCTTTATTGAAGAAAATTCTGTTTTTAAAAAAAAATTCGTGTGGTCCTCATTGGGTTCGAAACTTAGCAAAAAAAAAAAAAAAAAAAAAAATCCTTGTTATCCTTTGAGACTATCACGCTAGCCACTAGGCTATACCGCATGTACTCCTAATGAATAGTAGCATTGAAATCGTGTTTATGATAAGACCTTGACTAAAAAACTTAAGTATTTTTTTTTTCCGGAAAGATGCATATGTTGTGTCGTAAAGGTGTATTTTGAAAGTATAGTTGGACTTTGCTTCATGTTTCTGTTTAGCAACAAATTTCTATTTGTACAATAGCTTTAAAAAAATGAAGCAAAGACCTACTCATATAGAAAAAGTGTGTTATACAATGAGATAATAATCCTTATGCCCTCTTTAGAGTATGTTTGCTATTTCATAAGCAAATAAATTCAATCTTTAAGAGCATTTTGTACATTGTGGATATATCATGAAATAAATGGAGATAACGAACAGTATTCAAGCTCAAAAGTCCACTATACAATACAAAATAGGAGCAGAGCAAACACGGACCTCCAAACATCAGAGGTGGGATCAGGTGCCATGGAGGAGTGAGCATCCCCTGCCGACCGTTCACACCCGCCGTGTGCTCCTTGTCATGATCGGGAAATAACGGAAAAATCCGTCGACAATTCAGTGTGTAAATAATGGCCTAACAATTAGCGTGAAAAACGTCAGTCAGCATTTGACTCAATGATAAATTGTATTTGCTGACAAGGTCACTGTATCGACCATAGAACTTACGAAATGATGACTTTAAACGAGACAGCTGATATTCTTGTTTCATCAACTTATTTGTCAATAATTTACCTCGTTTTAGAAATTGTACATACGTAGAGCATGCTCTTGCGTATCGAATCAACTGAGAGATATATATACCCAGTATGCAGGTGATGAAGGTATATTGCTGCATAAGTAAGGGAAGTTGATGATTGAAAAGTTAAAGTCATCACGTTTATCATAATGCTTGGTTGTTAGATTACCATTAACGTCTTTTTCAAGTAAATGTCCAAATATGAAACAGATGTGTCAGACTCCGTGGTATCTTTTATCTCAAGTTCACAAGGATATATCGTATCGACATAAGAATGGAAATAGCCATTGTTAATTGACAATACGTCATTGATATATCTAAATGTCGAGTTGAAGGCCACACCAAGTGTTTTCTTCTTTTCACGTACAAGATTTTGGACAAATTCTGCTTCATGTGAATACAAAAAAAGGTCTGCTAATAACGGGGCGCAATTGGTACCCATGGGAATTCCAATAGAGTATACTTTAATATTAAAGGTAACATCAAAGAAAAACTTGAAATAATTGAGATTCCAACTTTCACCTTCAATTTTTGTCGCACAATAGGCAATTTGTTTTACATCTTGTTCTCCCATATCTCCTTTGGACAATTAAAACAAACAATAAAAACCCTTTTGAAAACATGCTATCTATTAATAAAATAGGAAATTATAAATTGTTTAGAAACATGTATTGCAATAACTTTTAGAACATGTTCTTGATTATTGAATCGATTCAGAGACATATTAAATTAATTATACATGTACATGTGATAATGGTGATTCTGAAGATAGAAAACGGTATTTGACGAAGAATCTCAGTAAAATGATAATTATATTAGGTTATGATTTATATACTGACATGCATAATTTAAAGGGAAATGACTCTCGAATCCTTTATTAATTTTTAACAATTTTGGCGAATTAAATCCAAAAAAAAAGATACAATCAGCATTGATCTATGCACAATTTTTAACTTACTGTTCTTTGAAAGAAAAGAAATCTTAACATCTTTTGATAATTCAATGAGGCGGAATTCGAAGCAACAGACAAAGAGGTATCTAGGCGTGATATCGCAATATGAAGCAATAAGCGTAAAGTAGTATTGTCGATAGATTCACGACAAAAATAAAGCCACCTTGACTGTTTTTTCAAGAAGTGGTACAAGTAGAAAGTACTTAACTGCTTAAAGAACTCAAAAGCACTTTCAAAGAATTGATTTCTCTAAACATTTCAAGCATCAATAGCAACACCACATTTGACTTTTTATGCTTTAAATGCCATTCCTCATGAACAATAAAATAGACCCGGGGAACATGATTTGAAGAACTACCTGAGGGTGCTTCCGTGTAGTCATTACTAATCAGTGGCTTGTTGTTCTTAAAATACTTTGAAATACTTTCTGTATACATTCTTTTGTAAAACTTTGATCGACCACTGTGGTCCCACTCTACCCTTGGGCTCATGAGTTGAACAATCTTGAATTAACACTATGTAATGAAACGTTCACTTAAGTATAAACTCTTCTGGCCCAGTAGATCTTGAGAAGAAGGTTTTGAAAGATTTTTTCCTATACAAACTTTGATCATCTATGGTAGGCCCATCCTTCCCTCGGGGGTCATGGTCTGAATAAAATTCAATCTACACTTTATAATAAAGTTTTCACGTAAGTTTTAACTTTTCTGACACAGTGGTTCTTGAAAATATTTTTAAAAGATGCCACTAATTTTTTCTAATTTATCTTCCCTAAAAGGAGGACCTGGTCCTTCATTTGAACAAAATTGAATCCTCTTTATCCAATGATGCTTTGTGGCAAATTTGGTGGAAATTGGCCAGTAGTTTTTGATGAGAAGTACCTTGGCATATGATAGTGGTGTTCGGTACGTTAGTCCCGGGTACAATTTTCTGACCGAAACTTTTTCTCCCTACAGTATTGCGGGTAATACTTAATAAAAACAACTTGTTTACTTATACATGTATATCTGCCATACACGTTTCTATCCTTTTGTTGTTTGTATGTCTCTCTCTCTCTCTATTTGTGTGTCAATCTTCTCTCTCTCTCTCTCTCTCTCTTTAGGAAATATTCTTTAACACAATATATCTGCGACAATATGTGCAAATGTTCACAATACATATTTCGGCGACGACAAAATGTGCCGATGCGTGACTGTACATATTGGCGTCCTTTATGCAGAAGGAAAAAAAGCTCGTCTCGGTACATATTGTCGCCGGCGACAATATGTACAGACGGACGATAATATGTGCAGTGAGGGTAGGTACATATTGTCGCTGACGCCAGTACCTGGTCTGTGTACCCCTGTCAATTAAGTGCGTTAAGGTACATCACTGGGTGCTAGAACTTGATTGACATTTACTTACTAGTCCCTGTGTATACCCTGTACACCTTGTTTGGCACTCGTGGTGACCTTCAAATTAACTTTTGATTGAATTTCTTTGATATTTACCACACATGGTATAAACAATAGAGAAGCTGTATTACTATGGAATTTTTAGCTTGATAATATATATACATACATACCTTTACTATTCGAAATAATTATGATATTCTTTATGATAATATATATATCAAAATTTGGTATAACTTTCTTTTTTTCAAAGCTCAACAAATACTTTGAATAATAATATTCTTTAATGGGCGGGGATACTTTGACACATATTCAATTACAAATTAATAAAAATTATTGAGATTAAACTTTATTTACAACTTTTTATTTCTATTCTAAAATCATCTCAAAATCCCAACACAGGTAAAGATTGACTTCTTGGGTACTCTACTGTGTATTAAATCACTTCCTGTGTATAGGGATTAGCAGGTAGACTGCTAGCCCTCAGGGCATTCA